TCGTTTGGTTGCTTCCGCTAATTTGGTTGCGTATTCGTCTCGCTTCGCCTCAGCCTCATCTGCTTTTTTACGCAGTTCATCACATTGATCTTTCAATTCCGCTATGTGGCGAGATCGCTCGGCGGATTCCTCCGATAGACTCTCGTTGAGATCGCTTACGGCCATGTAGCCTTCCATCTCCCTATCATCCGCAATTTTCAAGTTGTCTTCCGCGATCTCCTTCTGGCGTTCGTATCTTACTTTCCATTCCGTTGCCGTGTTCTCTAATACGCCCTGGTGTTGCTCCAACTCATAGATACGAGCTTCAAGAGATCCCAACCGATTTTGATATTCCTGTTTCTTCTTGATAGTCTGAGCTTCTTTTTCTTCCAACGAAATCTCGAGTTCTTTGACTCGACGTTTCAGGCTTGAAGTGGGGCTGTTGGGAAATGGAGATCGTACGTTGACGATCTTCCCCGTCTGATTCCTTTCAATCAGACTTTCGGGGATGTCCTCGAAGGATGTCAATCCTTGAGCTCGATCCGCTTCCTTCATTGCGGTTTGAAATGACATATTCAATGTCATCTCGTCTTCTGTGAAGTACGATTCTTCGTTCCCGCGATTGGACATCATCTCATCAGATGCCATCGGACTCTCGAAGATGTCTTCGGTTGTTGTTTCATCTCCGAGTGTGAGATCATCTAGTCTGAGTTCGTTGAGATCATCTGTTGTGATCGTTGGCTGTTCGGTGAGTTCGGTTTTGGCCAGGTTCTCCTTCTTATCCTGGTCTGACATATCCTTTTGCGATGTCAGATCCATCTCCGCGGCTTCTTCTGAGTTCATTCCTTCTTTGGTGACCTCCTGGTTCACCTCACTGTTTCCCGCCGCAGGCGCGGGAGATCGTTTCAGATCATCACTGGAGCTCTCTTGAGCTGACACTGCTTCGAGTGCCTTTTGATATGTCGCTTCCGACCCACGTGAATCTTTCTTCACGGGGACTTTCGGTGCTCGAGTGTTTCGATCATGTCCAACTGGACGCGAGTACGGGTACAAGTCTTTCTTGTACGGGTTATGTGCGCCTTGCTGTGACCCGTGAGAGCTACGGCTCCCCTGACTGCTGTTAGATGTCGGTTCGATGATCTCTTTATCCATGATGATCGGATAACTGTGACGCACCTGCTGGTTTTGCTCACATACACGTTATAATGAGATCGTTTTAAGTCCCTGAGATCGCTTTTTAGCTGATCTACTTCGATCGAGTTCGCTTTTAAAGGGCACTTTTTCGAGAAAAAGATCGAGAGTTTTGCCTCAAAAATGATCTCCTTCAGCTGCTAATATCAATAAAACTACTAGAAAGATCGTTTGGAGTTCGTATTCGGTTAAATTAGATGATCTCAACTCAATTGTAAAGGTCACTACCTGATCTGATCTGATCTCAAAGGTCACTGATGATCTCGAGATGATCGACCTCCAAGATGGTCACTTTTCGGTCACTTCAGTTCGATTGAAAACAACTTCCTTTAACTGATTTTAGATCGTTAACAATGAGAAAAGATCGTTTTAACTGATGAGAGATCGTTACGAGATCGTTTTAGATCGATCTGATCTGATGTCAAGATCACTGACGATCTCGAGATGATCGATCTCCGAAATGGTCACTTTTTTGGTCACTTCAATTCAATTAAAACCAACTTCCTTTAGTTAAATTTAGATCGTTTCCGATGAAAAGAGATCGATCCCACTGCTGGGAGATCGTTAGGAGATCATTTTAGATCGATTTTACCGTTAAAAATTTTGACCAATCGGAGTTCGTTAAACTGACCAATCACATGTACTCGTTAAAATTTTCTGACCGGCCTGACGTCACAGATCGACGGCCAGACTTGCGTGCCGTGTGCAAAAACTACGCCTACGTCTAGCTCAGCTCAGTACCGACCAATAAGAATTGCGTATTTTACGCCTCAACCAATCCGATAATTAATAACGGGTTTTTACCTGTCTACCGTTCCGATCCCACGAAAAGATGATCCAGATTACGAAGATGATCCAGGTGATCTTCTCCACAGTCCGATCCCGCGCACCCGTATTCCGCACGGTTGTGGCGCCTTCCTGTCCGACCTATTCAGCCTTCTGCTGGGCTTGTCAAGCCTATCAGCAGGTCGCTCTACAACCAATTTAATGGAGCGCGTTAACTGATCTCTTGGCACCTCATTCGGTGCTGCCAACTCGTGGCTTCTCGGCTCTTGTGCCCGACAGCCTTGACCCCAACAAGAGGTGCTCGCTGCCTAGCAGAGGAAACAGCACAAGTTATCCGACAGGAGAGATCTTGCACCGCAGCCTTCTGCCGTCTGATTGGAAATGCACGACGAGTTCTCCTACAGGAGACTCTCTAGTCAGTGCAGCCGCTGATGCTGGCAATCCGATCGATGAGCGCGCCCTGCTTCAGATAAGGAAAACCAGTGCCTTACTGGTGAAATAAGATCATTGAGATCAAAATGATCCAGATCAATATGGCCGTTCGCCAAACAAGTAAGATGTGGCCGTTCGCCAAACAGATAGAACTCAGAAACCGTCTGTTCACGGCTCTGCTACCATATCACCGTGGACCAGGAATGAGTCCAGGACGGAAGCCCAGACTGACAGGACTCCGTGTAGTGTAGAACGTGACGTGTTAGAGGAAGAAATGCACAACGCACGATATCCAGTCTACGTTATACACTTTATTAGCATTCTCTATCGTGAAAACCAACACACTGACGTTCAATGCTCGGTGAGCTAACGTCTACCAAATATCTCATATGTAAACTGCACAGCGCATAGTGAACACAGTGAACAGCAGCCGTCAGCCAATCAGAAAAGAGACACGCCACAGACGGTAATTCCACGGGGAATCCCCAGTGCGTAGTGCAACGAAGCACTCCCCCAACTCCAGTAGCGTCACTAAGGTGGACGCAAGGGAGCCATCGCCTCACACCTACATCAACCACGGGGTGCTGACAAAAAATTAGCGCAAGGGAACCATATGTTGGGTACCACTCGTCTTAACGCGATTTAACAAAGGCAATTTAATTCGTTTGATTAAATTTATAGAGTAATTTAATTATCTTTCGAGATTCAATATCCAAAAACAGGGCCACATTTGTGAAGGAAAAGAAATGCGGATGTACGATATAACTGTAGTATGAATACGCACTGTATCCACGATAATTCCCCGAAGGTCATAAATTTTGTAGAATACCGAATACAATCCTAGGATACTACATATGTGAGTCATATACGTAGATAACTCCATCAAGGTTCACTAAACTAATGCAGTCGAAATATGAATAACGCCGTTAAAAGCACATGAGGAATTGCTTATTCAGCTCTCTAAGGAGCTTTAAGCTGCGTAGGACTGTAGTCTGGAAGACCATCAACGCACTTATGACTGCTATCAACAGGATCGACAACGTAGGACTGTAGTCTGGAAGACCATCAACGCACTTATGACTGCTATCAACAGGATCGACAACTCATCTCATCCGAGGCTCAGTTTTTTGGTGATTCTTTAGAGTAGAATGTAACAAACAAAACCGAAGTAAAACTGGAAACGGCTTGCAAGTGCAGAAACGGCTCCAACTTCTGATAAACCTGTAGTTTATATTATGGCAAGCCCGTCAGAGCAATCTTCACAACATGATAAATCGATAAGACAACATCATTTCCGCTGCAACCCAAATTTTTAACTTACGAGGGAAAGCTTTCAACTTGTCGCGCGATTCACTGCCCACACATAGTATCATTAGATTCGTCGGAATTCAGGGAATTTGTTGTCGCGCAAAAGGTTTCTCCCAAGCAATAAACTGAAGTTGCAAAACTTCGAAGAACCCAACACGGATGTGATGGCTGAAAGTAGGTTAGACGTCAGCCTGCGTTAAAATCAGATAGATGACGCACACGATACGATTACGCAACCGTGAGCGTAGTGGAAACGAGCGAACAAAAGCAAACGAGGAAACTTACCAGCCTAGACACCATTGACCAGATCAAATATAATAAGAGCATATAATCAATCATCTTAAAATTAAGAAGTGATTTCCGAGAACAACAAATTGAATAGCTGTATTTGATGAACAAAACGGGCGTATGTAATAAAGCTATGGTCATCACCTGTCCACCCAAAATCGTACTTAAACGGTAGTCACAGCTGAATTTGTAACAGTTGCTTAACCGCGCTGTTTGTGGTCATTTATATTTTTGTGTGATACTTTTTGTGTCCCGGTGATTATCAGTCTAGTCTAACTAGTGTATATATTCTGTATACATCTTGTATAAATACTGTATATTATAATTTGTACATAATTGTTAAATTAAATGGGTGTTTTTTAATTTATATTAACACTAATTTTAAATGGAATCTCTGCGTGTGTCGGCTGTTGTGCAGCTCGTTTTATGCCATTTCCCACTAAGCGATGAACCATTAACGCCGACGGACAAAGAACAAGAAGCCGCTCAGCTGATTACAGGTAAGTAATATTTTAAATTGAATCATTTCTTGACGTCAACATTTATAGTTTGCATTTCCTTATGTTTACCGTCACATTACGCACGCGGTTTTTGTTAACTCGCCATTACGTTCGTTAACTCATTTATGTCTTATCGTGCTTTTAGAAGCTATTTCTGGATTAAAATTTGTTTATAAACAATAACAATTTCAGTCAATTTCTGATAGAAATTCCGTCCCATTCGCTGCAGATATTCTTCATGATATTGCTTCTGGACATCTAGAAGTTCCGAAAACTGTCAACGATCTTGAATTTTATGACAATGAACCGAGCGAAGCTAAAGACGTTTTTTCTGATGATGACGCAGAGGATTATGAGGGCGAATGCGAAGAAGACGAGTCACACATCAGCAGCCGAAACTTAGGCGAAGCTGACTTTGACTACAAAAGTATTACCGTAGACTACTGGCGTGATGGTGGACGTAAAAGAACCTTTCAAAGCGTTCACCACACCTACTCTCGATGCCGAACACCGCGTATGCTTCAGCGCTGGGTAAAAATAGTGGACAAAGGCGGTTCGCGGGTGGATAAATTGAAACGGATCGCTACTAAAACATTGGAACTGTTTATGCAGGCTAAATCATCTTATCTGATTTTGAAAGATATTGATTTACGCCAGATGGCTTTAGTGGCTAATGCGGAAGTGCAACTGGATGGATTTATAGCATCAGATAGCTGGCTAACGAATTTCAAGAAAGCACATCGGATCGGTTCAAAGAAAATAACCACATTCGTGACTTCGAAGTATGCTAGAGATTCATCTGATAATCTTGAAGCTTGTGAGGCATTTTTGGAAGAAACCAGGCCGATCTTCGATAGTGTCTCGCATTCAAACATCTTCAATTTTGACCAGTCCGGCTTCCAGCCAGAGCTGCATTTTGGCCCATCGTTAGACTTTATTGGTAAGCTGATAATAAATCTGATGACATTGCGTCTACGTTACGCTTTCAAATGTTTTCTCCAGGTGTGAGGAAAGTAGTGTCTCTTGTTGAATCCGAAGTGTCGACAAGTTCTTCGTACACGATTATGCCTATTCTATCTGCCGAGGGCATTCTGCATCCGCTTATGTATATCTGCTTGAAAGAGCGAAGTGGAAGGTTCGGTCCACAGGTTTCACAGTCCATGTTCCGTCCAAAAACCTTTATATTGACTGTAGCAATTCGGGGAAAATGGAAAAAAGCCACATGTTTACATTTCTCAAGGAAGTGTTGTTCAAAATGCCAAATGTAACCAGTTTTGTGGCGATTTGTGATTCTTGGAATCCTTTCAGAGTAAGCTCACCAGTTTTTAAGCACATATTAAAACTGAAAATGGAATGTCTTTTGGTTTTAGGATCACACGGCAATTAAACGCTGTGTCCCTGAAGGAAAATCTATTGAGGTTTTCAATATTCCGCCAAAATGTACATGGCGAATTCAGCCCGAAGATGTCTTTTTGTTCAGACAATGGAAAGGCTTTATTCGCAGGATCGGTAACCGACTTTTCCTAGAAGGTTTGAGCGGAACGTACAAGTTGCATCATAGAGACAACGTGTTGAAGCTTCAGGCTTTAACGTTGCGTCAGTTTACCTCCCCGCGCTTTAAGCCGATGATGCGATATGCTTGGGTGAAATCTGGTTACGTTCACGGATACGATGAATTTGAAACACCGTCTCAGTTTTGCATTAAATTCGATGAAGTGTTCCGAGAACCGCGCTGCAAGTGCGAAAACTGCCTTCCTGTCCGACCTATTCAGCCTTCTGCTGGGCTTGTCAAGCCTATCAGCAGGTCGCTCTACAACCAATTTAATGGAGCGCGTTAACTGATCTCTTGGCACCTCATTCGGTGCTGCCAACTCGTGGCTTCTCGGCTCTTGTGCCCGACAGCCTTGACCCCAACAAGAGGTGCTCGCTGCCTAGCAGAGGAAACAGCACAAGTTATCCGACAGGAGAGATCTTGCACCGCAGCCTTCTGCCGTCTGATTGGAAATGCACGACGAGTTCTCCTACAGGAGACTCTCTAGTCAGTGCAGCCGCTGATGCTGGCAATCCGATCGATGAGCGCGCCCTGCTTCAGATAAGGAAAACCAGTGCCTTACTGGTGAAATAAGATCATTGAGATCAAAATGATCCAGATCAATATGGCCGTTCGCCAAACAAGTAAGATGTGGCCGTTCGCCAAACAGATAGAACTCAGAAACCGTCTGTTCACGGCTCTGCTACCATATCACCGTGGACCAGGAATGAGTCCAGGACGGAAGCCCAGACTGACAGGACTCCGTGTAGTGTAGAACGTGACGTGTTAGAGGAAGAAATGCACAACGCACGATATCCAGTCTACGTTATACACTTTATTAGCATTCTCTATCGTGAAAACCAACACACTGACGTTCAATGCTCGGTGAGCTAACGTCTACCAAATATCTCATATGTAAACTGCACAGCGCATAGTGAACACAGTGAACAGCAGCCGTCAGCCAATCAGAAAAGAGACACGCCACAGACGGTAATTCCACGGGGAATCCCCAGTGCGTAGTGCAACGAAGCACTCCCCCAACTCCAGTAGCGTCACTAAGGTGGACGCAAGGGAGCCATCGCCTCACACCTACATCAACCACGGGGTGCTGACAAAAAATTAGCGCAAGGGAACCATATGTTGGGTACCACTCGTCTTAACGCGATTTAACAAAGGCAATTTAATTCGTTTGATTAAATTTATAGAGTAATTTAATTATCTTTCGAGATTCAATATCCAAAAACAGGGCCACATTTGTGAAGGAAAGAAATGCGGATGTACGATATAACTGTACTTACAGAAGCATATGAATACGCACTGTATCCACGATAATTCCCCGAAGGTCATAAATTTTGTAGAATACCGAATACAATCCTAGGGATACTACATATGTGAGTCATATACGTAGATAACTCCATCAAGGTTCACTAAACTAATGCAGTCCGAAATATGCTGGAATAACGCCGTTAAAAAGCACATGAAAAGTAGTGGAATTGCTTATTCAGCTCTCTAAGGGAGCTTTAAGCTGCGTAGGACTGTAGTCTGGAAGACCATCAACGCACTTATGACTGCTATCAACAGGATCGACAACTCATCTCATCCGAGGCTCAGTTTTTTGGTGATTCTTTAGAGTAGAATGTAACAAACAAAACCGAAGTAAAACTGGAAACGGCTTGCAAGTGCAGAAACGGCTCCAACTTCTGATAAACCTGTAGTTTATATTATGGCAAGCCCGTCAGAGCAATCTTCACAACATGATAAATCGATAAGACAACATCATTTCCGCTGCAACCCAAATTTTTAACTTACGAGGGAAAGCTTTCAACTTGTCGCGCGATTCACTGCCCACACATAGTATCATTAGATTCGTCGGAATTCAGGGAATTTGTTGTCGCGCAAAAGGTTTCTCCCAAGCAATAAACTGAAGTTGCAAAACTTCGAAGAACCCAACACGGATGTGATGGCTGAAAGTAGGTTAGACGTCAGCCTGCGTTAAAATCAGATAGATGACGCACACGATACGATTACGCAACCGTGAGCGTAGTGGAAACGAGCGAACAAAAGCAAACGAGGAAACTTACCAGCCTAGACACCATTGACCAGATCAAATATAATAAGAGCATATAATCAATCATCTTAAAATTAAGAAGTGATTTCCGAGAACAACAAATTGAATAGCTGTATTTGATGAACAAAACGGGCGTATGTAATAAAGCTATGGTCATCACCTGTCCACCCAAAATCGTACTTAAACGGTAGTCACAGCTGAATTTGTAACAGTTGCTTAACCGCGCTGTTTGTGGTCATTTATATTTTTGTGTGATACTTTTTGTGTCCCGGTGATTATCAGTCTAGTCTAACTAGTGTATATATTCTGTATACATCTTGTATAAATACTGTATATTATAATTTGTACATAATTGTTAAATTAAATGGGTGTTTTTAATTTATATTAACACTAATTTTAAATGGAATCTCTGCGTGTGTCGGCTGTTGTGCAGCTCGTTTTATGCCATTTCCCACTAAGCGATGAACCATTAACGCCGACGGACAAAGAACAAGAAGCCGCTCAGCTGATTACAGGTAAGTAATATTTTAAATTGAATCATTTCTTGACGTCAACATTTATAGTTTGCATTTCCTTATGTTTACCGTCACATTACGCACGCGGTTTTTGTTAACTCGCCATTACGTTCGTTAACTCATTTATGTCTTATCGTGCTTTTAGAAGCTATTTCTGGATTAAAATTTGTTTATAAACAATAACAATTTCAGTCAATTTCTGATAGAAATTCCGTCCCATTCGCTGCAGATATTCTTCATGATATTGCTTCTGGACATCTAGAAGTTCCGAAAACTGTCAACGATCTTGAATTTTATGACAATGAACCGAGCGAAGCTAAAGACGTTTTTTCTGATGATGACGCAGAGGATTATGAGGGCGAATGCGAAGAAGACGAGTCACACATCAGCAGCCGAAACTTAGGCGAAGCTGACTTTGACTACAAAAGTATTACCGTAGACTACTGGCGTGATGGTGGACGTAAAAGAACCTTTCAAAGCGTTCACCACACCTACTCTCGATGCCGAACACCGCGTATGCTTCAGCGCTGGGTAAAAATAGTGGACAAAGGCGGTTCGCGGGTGGATAAATTGAAACGGATCGCTACTAAAACATTGGAACTGTTTATGCAGGCTAAATCATCTTATCTGATTTTGAAAGATATTGATTTACGCCAGATGGCTTTAGTGGCTAATGCGGAAGTGCAACTGGATGGATTTATAGCATCAGATAGCTGGCTAACGAATTTCAAGAAAGCACATCGGATCGGTTCAAAGAAAATAACCACATTCGTGACTTCGAAGTATGCTAGAGATTCATCTGATAATCTTGAAGCTTGTGAGGCATTTTTGGAAGAAACCAGGCCGATCTTCGATAGTGTCTCGCATTCAAACATCTTCAATTTTGACCAGTCCGGCTTCCAGCCAGAGCTGCATTTTGGCCCATCGTTAGACTTTATTGGTAAGCTGATAATAAATCTGATGACATTGCGTCTACGTTACGCTTTCAAATGTTTTCTCCAGGTGTGAGGAAAGTAGTGTCTCTTGTTGAATCCGAAGTGTCGACAAGTTCTTCGTACACGATTATGCCTATTCTATCTGCCGAGGGCATTCTGCATCCGCTTATGTATATCTGCTTGAAAGAGCGAAGTGGAAGGTTCGGTCCACAGGTTTCACAGTCCATGTTCCGTCCAAAAAACCTTTATATTGACTGTAGCAATTCGGGGAAAATGGAAAAAAGCCACATGTTTACATTTCTCAAGGAAGTGTTGTTCAAAATGCCAAATGTAACCAGTTTTGTGGCGATTTGTGATTCTTGGAATCCTTTCAGAGTAAGCTCACCAGTTTTTAAGCACATATTAAAACTGAAAATGGAATGTCTTTTGGTTTTAGGATCACACGGCAATTAAACGCTGTGTCCCTGAAGGAAAATCTATTGAGGTTTTCAATATTCCGCCAAAATGTACATGGCGAATTCAGCCCGAAGATGTCTTTTTGTTCAGACAATGGAAAGGCTTTATTCGCAGGATCGGTAACCGACTTTTCCTAGAAGGTTTGAGCGGAACGTACAAGTTGCATCATAGAGACAACGTGTTGAAGCTTCAGGCTTTAACGTTGCGTCAGTTTACCTCCCCGCGCTTTAAGCCGATGATGCGATATGCTTGGGTGAAATCTGGTTACGTTCACGGATACGATGAATTTGAAACACCGTCTCAGTTTTGCATTAAATTCGATGAAGTGTTCCGAGAACCGCGCTGCAAGTGCGAAAACTGCCAGGAACGTCCGTTCATCCGGTGTGCTTGGTGTAAAGTGATTATGTGCTTAATGCACTTTTTTGTTAATTACCACGAATGCGATGACAACTCGTTTGTGTTGTAAAATTTGACATTGATTGATTTTTCTAGTCTTTGTTTTTCAGTTTCGGTCTCACAGAGAAATGATTTTGTTCTGCTTGCATTTTATTTTGTTTGTTTGCAATTTTTATGTTTTTGTGTATTTCTATTTCACTTTTATTATTAAAACTGAAAAAGCTTCTGATAACAATTCTTGCATTTTTCGCTGAACACGCTTCGCTCGGCACCGTTCGGTGTTTATGACTAGTTTTGACATTGCGCATACCGGACGTTTTGATGCAGCGTGAACAGCGTATGCTGTCTGATTAGCGCAGGCTGACGTTTAACCTGCTTTCAGCCATCTTTACTTTGTTGGGTTCTTCGAAGTTTTGCAACTCCAGTTTATTGCTTGGGAGAAACCTTTTGCGCGACAACAAATTCCCTAAATTCCGAGGAACCTAATGATACCATGTGCGGGCAGTGAATCGCGCGCCCAGTTGAAAGCTTTCCCTCTTTAATACGTAATCAAGTTCATTGTCGCAAAAATCCGTTCACGCAAATGCACAGCCTTCAGGCCAGTTCAAAGCATGGCTTAAGCTGCTCATAAGAGTAATTTTTAAAAACGAAGTTTGTTGCTACAATGATGCCGTAATTGTATTACTGACACTTTTTAAGATCGCAGATTGGGTTCTCTTTGTATGAGCTTGTGCTTTAATTTAAGCTTTCCTTTATCATCCGCCGAGCCCCGAGGCTAGCACAAAAATTCGAAGAACTCCCGATGTACCCTACCTTGTTTACTATGAAACGGAACCGTTCATCTGCCCGTGAAAATTGAAACAGTGATAAGATATCTGCATGCGGCGTCATATTTATGATAGACGATCCCAACTAAAATGCCTTTATTTAATGTGCACATACAGATTCATACAGATAAGAGCATCATAAGACCAATGGTTTGCCTGTTCGTCCAGTAACAATAATCTGCATTAATTGTAAGTAACAAACACTAAGTCGGCACTGAACATGACAGCACTGCTTTGCTTGTACAGATGCGATGCGATAAAATGCTGCACCCAAATCAATATCGTGCGTAAACAGTGTTATCGGAAATGTACATATTATAGTCGGACAGTTTAGATGGCATTCGGAGTAAACACGATTATTATAACACTTGCCACTCAACTTTTTATTGGTCAAATCAAAATCGCAATGCATAAGCAAGAAAAGGAACACATTAGACTATAACAGAAAAATTTCGTTTAGTTTAGTTTAATCTTGCCACCGTATTACAATATGCGCAAGAGAACTGGAAGGCCGTCAAATCTAACATCTTGCATTACGTGTGAATCTGTAAATAAAAGAAGATTGTGTTAACGAGGATTGGATCGCGCTATGCCCAGTTAGTAAAATTTAGCACACTTGTAAGCCTTACCATTCGTGTAGTAAGGAGACACTCAAAACTACATCCGCTGGCCGGTTTTTATGGCGAAGGAATAATCCCTGCAATTTCGCCATGCTGATCTGGGGGCGCTCCAGCTGGCCGAAAACAGCCTGAACAAAAGTCTGGGCTTCGTCATCCGTGCACTGGCGATGAAAGCGGCGGAACATGCTTTCCACTTGGTATTTGGTGGCGTAGTCGAATAACTGTCGGTAATCGATGCGACCTGGGCGAATCAATGCCGCATCCAATCTGTACGTGGAAACATTTCAAAGAAAATGTTTCAAATGTTAATAAATCTAGTAATTGCTTATATCAAACGTTCGTCACTTGCTTTCTTTTAATTTAAAATTGGTTATATAAATTTGAGTCATCTTCAAGAAACATTAACCAACCTTTGCAACAGTTCCATCAACAGATAAATACTCAGTTCAGTAATTATTAATGGTCACTATTTTGCAGCTTAGTTTTCGTTTGTGCGAAATATTTTGCTATACTCAAGAATTAACAGATTGTGGCATTTTGGTAAACTTAAGTTCTACAGCAGTATATTAGGCTGTCGATGACCTAAAGTAGTAAACAAAAATACCAGAAACAAGAGAAAGTTATATACATACTTACCGCTCGACATAGTTGGTAGTCATGAAAATGATCCGTCCCTCTGCCGAACCAACCCCGTCCACCGCATTCAGTAGTCCGCTCAACGTCAGGTTGTGATTAACCTTATGTTTGACAGCAGAAGAATTGGTCTTTTTCTTGCCTTTGCCTTTCTTTGTCGGTTTTCTCTCTTTCGCTTCTTCCGATGCTTCCGTTTCCCATTCCCCGCGATCCCCAAACGCAGCATCCACATCCTCCAGCAAGATAACCGAGTTCTCCGGCGCGTCGTACATCAGCCGACGCAGCATCTCATCCGTCATCATAGAGTCGCTCAGGTTAACCGCACAGATATCCAGATCAAAGTGTCCGGCCACCGCCGAGATGAAGCTGGTCTTCCCGGTGCCAGGCGGCCCGTGAAACAGGTAGCCGCGCCGATAGGGAACGCCGTAGTCCGCGTACCATTCCGCCGTGTCGAAGAACTCCTGGATGTCCGCGATAATCGCCTCGCTAATGCCGTCGGCCAAATGGATGGAATCCAGAGGGCGTTTACGCTTTCCGCTGTCGCTGGTCGGCGACCAGTAGCCACCCTCGTTGATGTATAGCAGAGTACAACCCAGAGTGCGCTGTTTGTGGAAGGCTTTCACGTCGGCGATGATGTCACGGTAGATGTCCGTGCTGCAGTCGTTGGTGGACAGGTTCAGTTCCTCCTTGTGACGATCCGACAAACCCTTATCCTCGCGGTCACGTTTAGCGGTTATCTTCTTATCCTTAAACCTACGATATCACCAGATTATTTAGGCGTCGCGGCAACGTTTGATTTTCACAAATGCAGGCTACCTGTAGACGCTATTGTGCCGCTTAATAGCTTTTAATACTATTTTATTAGACGATTAACTTTTGCTTTCTCCCACTACGAACCTTTTTTGTATTCATCTGTGTCGTTCTACAGTAAAACGTTCTACAACAAAATAACAACAACTGGCAACAAGTACTCGTAAACGTTGGCCTGAAATCGCTTATACCGCTGCATCCGGTTGCTGAGACATGGATTGTAAAAAAAGGGACAAAACGTTCACGTCCAACGCTCAGCACATTTGACAAGATACGTTATTTGCACTATAGTCGACTACTACAGGAAAGACCAATACTACTGGTAGTAGCAGTATAAAGTAGAGATGGTGAGTCGGTACAGCTAATGCCAAACTGTAACACTACAGTTGCACACCGGCGACACCGCTACTGACGCTACAGCAGGTTTTATCGAAATAAAGACCGCCCTTCAGAGCCACTAAATTAAGCCCACAATTTCGCCAGTTGTATTAAATTTTTGTACTGCAAGAATGCAGGAAAAACATCACTTTAAAATGTAGTTAATATGAAGACGAATCAGAACTAAAATGACGATCACAGCATGTCCCAGGGATTTTAAAATAAATTTGAAGTTTTGTTTTACATAAAATTGCCTGCGAAATGTGGACTGCCGAGCGAATGCCACGAAACTGTTTGAAGAGGAAGTTGCGGACTGTATAGCTAAAGCCGTGCATAAACGAATGCAAAAATTTTTTTGCTTAAATGCATAAACGTATAAATGCATAAACTCATGCATTAGTAAATTCAACAACTTCATTTTTCATAAATATTGGACATATGTAAATGCATAGACGCCATTCATAAATAAACAGAAAAAAAAGTTTTCGCACTTATTTATCCGCGGGTTTTCTTTACGCAGTTCGTATCTTGCCTTTTAACATGGCATACTAATAATACTGTACATTTACTTAAACTGTTACACCGTGATCGTGATAGTCGTACCGAAAGACATGGGTGCCCACTGCCCACACTGGGAATGAAATCGTGAACGGTCTCCCAGCGTCCATGGGGCCCTTGCCGGTAGTCACTCTCTAAACTGACATGCCGCGGTCGCTCTTGTTTAGCATGGATCCATTCCAGCATCTGCGCGTATATTTCCTGTGTGCCGGCCACCGCCAGGGAGGTGCCGAAGTACCGACGGTACAGCCTCCACCCGTAGTTCCACAGCTGCTGCAGCGCCGCCACCAGCGCCCCGGCGCTAACGATACCGAACGTGGTACCCAGGACGCTGTTGCCGCCGAAGAAATGGTCAAAATAATCGCTGATGTGGAAGTTGAAGAGATACGCAATCAGCCGCTCAATATACGGGAAGAGGACGCCCAGCAGGCTGGCCAATCCCAGGCCGCCGCTGATACCGGCATCGAACATGTTTAACACCATGATCTCACTTTCGCCGGAATATTGCTAATAAAGACGATAAAAAAATTTTTAAGCATTAATTAACCGATCTATTAAAAGTCGCAGTCACCTGTTGCTACCACCATGAGGAGCTATCTTTGACCTTTCCGTTGCGTAAATGTGAAATATACGTACATTTAATGCTTTGCACGCCGATAAAAATAATTTAATAACGACTGGAAGGCTGCTTTTATAGTTCTAGTCGTCGAGGTATGTCAATGTTCACCAATGCACTGCAAAATTTAATGCTGTTCTTTGGTAGTATGATCTGATTGTACGACTGACCTATTTTAGCACTGTGTGCATCTTGCGCCACCGGAGCAGCAAACGTATTAAAAAACAATACTGAAGAAAGGTAAAGGTGACCCAGTGACACCCAAATCACTTTCTATTCGACAAGAAAGGGCACAGAGCAAATTTTATCCGAGAGAGAAAATGGCCTTCGTTATTGTAATTTATGCAGTCAAGGAAATCTATATTTTTGAGTGCAAATAATAAGCCAGTCGCTGCAGACTGCCGCGTCTGAACTTTACCACCTAATTGTATGTGCAGTATAACCGAATAATATTTCGAAAAGCTATTGAACAGGAGCAGGAATGTGCCACTCCAGTTTGGACAACGATGTAGAAGTTTTCCATTGCGGGAAGAAACGATCACAGTTAAATAATACATTTCACAGTCATCGAAATACTCTATTACTGTACGTATCTGTACAAACCAAAAGGAATTACTAGTATGTAAAACTAAAAGGAATTGAGGAAGCATAATCTTTCTGTTTCGATAAACCACAAGAATATTGCACGCTGTGCAGACTTAGGGTTTTCGAGGCGTAAAGGGAGTTTTTAACAATAAGGGCGCGGCGTGTGTGACAACAACGACACACGTAAAAACCAAACTGCTTTGTTGTGGAAAGCCAGATGAGATTTAGCCGCAGAGCTTGCCACCTGTAGATTACCGACGATTTGGAAGCCAATGGCTTGCCACGTGTGTGAACGGCGCAGGCTGGAAATAGGCGTACCGTGTGCCCACGAATATAAGTTCTACTTGGCGCATTATCCCGTGTTATTTAATTATTTTTTATTTTGATGCCTACTCTCGTCAGAGTCTCGTGCAGCATAAATGCCTTTCATTTGCTGATTTTCTCATTTTCTCGTAATCCTGCACTGCAGAGTAATAATTGGGCGATTCTGCACGATGAACGCGACATCGTTGTATTTTCGGAAGCTGTTCTCGGGTTCACGCGATCTGAACTACGGGAACACGGTGCTGGTTCGGCGAGATAACGGCCAGTGGTGGCTGGGATACGTTCAGGACATTGATGGCCCCTCCTTCTTCGTGGACTTCGATGCCAGCAGCACCAGCGGCCAATGGATTCATTCGAGTCATCTCTGGCCGCACCGTTTTCTCGTCGTTGAGTATTTGGATGATGGTGCAGCAGTTCATGTAGCGCTACGGCGAACCCACGCTGATCCGATGGTTTTCTCGCCGGCTACTCTGGTGGAAGATAACATGAGTGATCCTTTCTATCGTGTGCTCCTGAATTGCGAAAATCTTGTCGGGATACAACGGGAACGGATGGTGCATCGCAACTATTGTCTCGAAGAGCTGCCGATGCCGGATGATGGGAAAAGTTTCTTCGAACGGACTACCGGGTTTTTGTTCAGGAAACATGTTATATCCTTTCCGCGAGCGCAGGAACTTCCGGACGTTGATTTTATTCCGACGAATCCGGCCCGCACATGTCGATTTGCTTTGGGTAGCGCCGATAATGTTTGTGATGGCAACTGTCGCTTTAAACGCGATGCCTGGGTGGACGAGATGACGTACTTTTGTGATCACCACAAACTGCGCCATACTATCGCTGTGGGTTATCGAATGTTTGTACGAGTGCGATTTGAGACGGTCACGTTTGTCTGTGCGGAAATGCAGAGTGACGGACATGGTTACAGCATCTACTGGGACGAACATGCCCTGCGGAAAGCGTGCGATGACTATCTAGCGGAGAACCTACCATCTCTGCCAATGCAAATGGACACGGTTCCTTGGGACGCGCTGCAGCATGGTCAGTGTGGCAGTGTTTCAAGGGCAGAGTAAAGCGAGGGTGTACCGTTTATTTTTAAAAAGGCGCCAATTTTTTCCTTTTGCTGATGCCTCTTAACTTCATATTTTTTACAGATGACGAAGAATCATCCATCTCTAAACTTCCGCCTCCGATCATGGCTTCTGTGCTGCAGTATTTGGATGTGGATTCCCTGTTTCAAACGAGCAGGCAAGTCGGTTCAGTGCAGTTTCAATTTGTAAAATAAATCCCTCATATAATATTCAAAACAAATTAGACTAGCGAAAGTGCATTGTGCTCCCGCTCTTTGCTGGCACTGCATCACCGAACCGGGGCCGGAAATATGATTGATTTTTTCACTTTTTTTGGGTGTTTCTGGTATGCATTGACAGTACTGTACGCTTGTTCGTTGAAAGCGCCCAATTGCTTTCCCGCAACCAATTCAGGAAAACTGTTTTGTTTCCAGAAATTGAAAATCTTGTATTAACTAAGGTGACTTTTACTGAAGTGACGTGACTTTGATTTTGCAGGGTCTGTGCATTGTGGAGAATACTGTATCTCCAGTACAAAAGCCCGCGACATATTCTCTTCCACCTTTGCACAGCATGCAAAAGAAAAACGCATGATTTCGTGGCAAACGATCTGCCTTATGATGAATGTCAGTTTTTCAATCGGACAGAAGAATATACCAAGTATCTCGCGCATAAATGGGTAACCATGCTGCATCGCATCGTACCCGGACGTACGCACCTGTTGGCACTGACGGAGAACGTAGATCACTTTCACAACTGCTGCGATCTGGCCACAAGAATGACAATGACCAGAATCGTACTGGCCAACAACGGCTTTCGCCTGCCTGTGATCATTATCAAGAACGGCCGGGTTGGCCCTCTGGGAACGTGTCACGATTTCCTGGCCATATGCCGTTATAATTACAATGGAGGATGGGAATGCAATGGATTGTCGGAATTGATGACGGTGTGCGAGCAGTTGGTGTTGATCAACTTTACTACGTTGCACTTGATAACCGGAGCAGCGTGCAGGATCCTGGGCTTCGGTGCTGCGCCGCCTTTGCCAGAATCCGAGAGAGTGTTGATGCGCAAGGATGTGGGCGTTGTGCGATGTCCGCTAACTATTCCGTACATACGTATTCGCTCCGAAGAAACAGCCGCTGAACAGACACGCATTGTCCTCGCCGCTGCCAACGAACAGTGTCCGGCCGTCAGTCGGCGGGTGTTGGAAAAGGTTGCCACGATGCATGCGCGCTGGGTGCAAACGTTGGCTTATCCGGAACAGTGGACCGGTATTCGCAGTTTTCTGAAACTGTAAGTAATATGTAGCACTTCCATAATACCTTTTCGTAAATACTGTAAATAAGCTGAAGCTGAAATATTTATTTTAGTTACTGTACAGCGTTGTTAAATAATTATTTTCAGTAAGAGGCTGGTTGATTCGGCTGTAGGCGAAATAACTCTCGTTTTTCAGCTTTAATTCGATTCGCCCCGAAGATACGCCTCAGCGATGGGATACGCTGGATCTCCTCCGACTGGACATTCCTGCCTTGACCAGTATCACATTCGCGGCACTGGATGGACTGTTCGAAGACTAAATTGACGCACTGGAGGCATGGTTTTGGTGTTGCTTCCGCTCACACAGTATTTCATTGGTTTATTTGTTTACGGTGCGCCGTGGCTGGCCAGATATTGATCGCCTCAGTTCGATTAAGGTACCCGTACCACTGGCTTTCTAATTCTTAGAATTTTGTGTAGCTTGTAAGCACAAGCGTTTCTGTATTTCGTTGAACGAGGTGAGGACATTTGAAATGGAACGTTGTTCTATTATCTATACAAGTACTGTGTTGAATACTGTAGTTGCATCGTGCAGCAGATATGTTGATGCAATGATGCTTATTATTGCGTAAGTACTGGTTTTCTTTGGACTTTCTTGCATTAACAGGTCAGTGTGGAAGGCATTAGAAATTGGCAAACATAAGTACAGCACGCTTTCCGATTTCTTCTCATCCGATGTTTTGAACCCTGTTTCTAGTGCTACAAGTAATGATAATGAATGAGCGTGCATGACGAGAACCTAAACCAACTACTACGAATTCTCACAGTTTACGTGCCCCATGTCCCTCGAAAAATTTAAATCCACCATTGTGGCTAGCAGAGATTCAGATCCATGACCAAGCAAATTCAGATCCATAACTTAATTCAGATCCATGACCAAGCAAAAATTTTATATCAGACATCAACAATTGAATACGGCAGTATCTGCAGTAACTTTTTACAGGAGTTACTTTTTACACGATTTCGCTTAAATGCTTCGGACAACTGTATCAAATCGCGCGCTTTACGGGGCCTGCCGCCCTTGTTCCCATCAAATCATATGAAATTCTCTCGGCTTCACATCCCCTTAGTCCGCAGACACCGAAGAAGAAACTCAACAACGATTCTTTTGCGAATCGCGCGAAAAGTTATAAATATAAACAAAACGCGGCGCGGGAAAGAACCTGTAATGGGTTGATTGTGTAATTTTGGCTACCGCCTGCAGGTGATGCTAGCGTGTGCGTGTAGTGCGACGCGGTACGTCACACGTGCCGTTCCATCTGAACTGGAGCAGCTGGATTAATATTGTTGAGTTTCCAAGTTTTTTCTTTTGGTATGATAGCGACAAGCCAGATTACCTGTTGTTTCTTTTCGTTTTCTCTCGATACTGTGCTCTAAAGTGAAACATTTCAATTTTTTTGACTGTTTTGCGCAATGAACGCAACGTGTCTGTACTTTCGTAAGTTGTTTTCGGGTTCGCGCGAGCTGAACTACGGGAACACACTGCTGGTGCAGCGCGATAATGGGCAATGGTGGTTAGGATACGTTCAGGACATTGATGGCCCTTCTTTCTACGTTGACTTCGATGCCGGCAGCACCAGTCCGCGGTGGATTCATTCCAGCCGTCTCTGGCCGCACCGTTTCCTCACTCATGAACCCCTGCCTGAGGGGTCCTCGGTGCAGGTAGCGCTGCGGCGTACCCATGCAGATCCGATGGTTTTCTGGTCAGGTGCCATCGTGGACGATGTGAAAACCGATCCGTTCTGCGTTGTTCGTGTGAACGGTGACAAAGCGGACGGAATACAACGCCAGCATATTATTCATCGGAATTACTGCGCCGAAAAGCTGCCAACCCCAGAGGAAGGGGGAAGCTTCTTCGAACGCGTTACGGGGTTTCTGTATCGGAAACACATCATTACGTTTTCCAGCGCCTCCATGTTGCCAGACGTGGATTTCATCGCGACGTTTTTAATCCGTACATGTCGATTGGTTTTGGGCAAGGGTGGTAATGTCTGCGATGCGAGTTGCCATTTTAATCGATTTGTAAGGGTGGACGAGATGTATTTCGCGTGCAACGAACACGAGGAGGTGGGTGGATCTTATCCGGTCGACGCAGGGTGTAGAATGTTCGTGAGAGTCGGACTGGATACCGTCACGTTTATCTGTGCCGAAATGCATGGTGACAATGACGGCTACAGCATGTTGTGGGATGAAGCCTGCCTGAGGAAAGCTTGCGAAGACTATCTGAAGGAGAATCTGACAGTGGCGCCAAGGGCTGTTGGCGCGATCCCGTGGGGCACGCTGCAGCAAGGTCAGTTGTACAATTGTTCTCTTTAACGAACTTCAATAGTCTCCCGGGTTTGATATCATTTTGTCAGCCTTCAAAAATAGAAATCATACTCTTTCTTTAAAGAAGAAACACCTTTGAGTGGGGCGGGTTATTCACAGGAGAGGCACTAACTGATGCAAAAAATAGTAACTCATTGAAAACGTGATTTTCTTCCGTTTTTGGGTGTGTAGATTCTTATGCACATTTTGCAGACGCAAAGGAAATGTCCATAAGTGATCTTTTGCATCCGATCGTGGCTTCGATAATGGGTTACCTGGATGTGGATTCGCAACTGCGGACCAGTAGGTAAGTTAGGTATTACGAATTTACTATAAATGTTTGTATTATCGAATGCACGACTATTATCGCGCAATGAAAGACAGTATCATCAGCGTTTGTGCTTAAGGAAAATCGACCGGTACATAGTGTCTAAAATGGTGTACATACACTGAAAATTTCGCTTTCGCACTCCGAATCGCCTATTCGCACTACTTCATTTCATTCTTACACTAAATGATTTGCATAGATCATTCTAGAATTCGTTTGCGCGCGCAACAAAGTGGTGCGAAGTGCGTGAAAGCGAAAGTTTTAATTTACGTATCCCATTTTCGACATAATTATACCGGGCCGTTTTCCTTAAGGCTCAAAACATTACCGCAGAAATATTTGCGTCAGTGGTTGCTGAAAACAGCGTATTATCTGTAACTGCGTGCGTTTGATTGGCTGTGGGCTTTCCGTATGAGTTGTTACGATTTCACTGATCTTTACTAGGGTTTGCGCGCTATGGAGATCACTTTTCCTGCAGCATGTAAAGGGTCGGCACATCCAGTTGGATCTCTGCCCAGCGTGCGAAAAAACCCCGCGTGAATTGTCCGGACAGTATGCTGAATGGGTCGATCTTGGTCCCAAAGAAGAGTATTTCATCTATCTCAAATACAAACTGATAACCACGCTGAATCGCGTAGTTCCTGCGCGAACGCAGATGCTGGCGCTGACGGAAGACAGAAATCATGCTCATGCTGGGTTCTCGGCCCGACTGACATGGATCAGCAACGTATTAGCTGCGATGGGCGTCCGTCTGCCAGTAATTATGGTGAAGAACGGCCGAGAATCCGCTTTCTGGGGATCATGTTTCCTGTGCATTGACTGTAACTTTCACAGTGGAACCTGGGAATGCAAGGGGTTAGCGAAGCTGATGACGGTGTGTGAGCAGTTGGTGCTGGTTAACATCGCTACGGATACATTAGTCACCGGAACAGCATACAAGATGTTGACGATATCGGATTTGCCGGTTGAGAAGGCATTGATGCGCCAGTACGGATCGCTCAGTAACAACGCTCTATGTCCAGTAACCATACCTCGGCTACGCTTTCGCTCGGTGGACACATCCGCTGAACAGATACGCATTCTTCTGGCCGCGGCCAACGATCAGTGCCCGGCCGTCAGTCAGCGGGTGTATGACAAGGTCGCAGCAGTGCATGCGCGTTGGGTGAGATCGCTGGCGTATCCGGGTCAGTGGAATGGTATTCGCGTTTTTCTGCAACTGTAAGTCTTTATGTGGTTGTTTGTACAACGGATGAACTGAATGCATTTCCTACGGGATTGGTAGTTCTTAGTCTAGTGTCATCCTTAAAGAAATCGTCAATCTAAAAATCCGATTTTTATATGAGCACAAAAACATTGTATCATTACCAATCAAGTGAATTGTAGTGTCCTGGCTACAAAAGTCGCACTGCATTTATAGTTAATCGATGCACAGTGCACACCTTACCACCGAAAACTAGGTGCTGATTTCCCTCGTATTAAATTTATTTTGTCATAATGGGGTAAATCACCCTCGTATGGTATGGGATTTAAGCCAAGCGTCTTTCTTAGTTCGTTTCTATAGTGTTCACCGGATTTTGAGATGGCTCGTATTTCCGGCCCACATTTGTCGGGCTTATGTTTTGCTAGCAAAGTGGGTTCATGCTGTTGAGGAGAATGGCTTTCCTTATGCAGCCTACAAATGGTACGAAAATGCAGTAAAACCGTTTTTATTAGGTTTAATTCTCTGCGCCCGGATGACACTCCACAGCGATGGGATACGATGGATCTTCGCCTACTCGATGTTGCTGCTTTGACCCCTATCACTTTCGCAGCGCTGAATGGATTGTACAGAGATTAAAATACTATACTGGAAATACGGTTTCGGGATTGCTTACGTTCAACTGCATCCTCCATTCCAAGTTTTTTCGGTTTGTTTACCTTGCGCCGCGGCGGGCTCGACTGGCGGGCACTAGTACGACAATCGTGTGAGACTGTCAGCGGATTTTCTGGAATGATTTGAGAACTGAGTATAAGCTGTTTTATGTTTATAGAGAAAGGAGATCATTCACACAGTATAGTACGTATCCATAATATTCCCTTTTTTTCTGATGCCGCTTTACATTTTGGGTGAAGTTGCGGGTGCCTGAGCCTCCGTTATCGTTAGTAGAAAGATATCAATGTTATAATTATATGACGGAGTAATGGTCTGCATTTCCTGCTAATTCAGTTGTACTCATTTTAAGTACTTAACAGTAAATTCTAAGCTTTTCCACGAACAATTAATTAATTGATCTCCTTTCGCTGTTGTAATTTCTGTACAGAGTACTGTGACAACTGACGGTACAAAGAAATCTAGTGTCTTAAGCAGTGCTAGTAACTATTATGCTCCATTGGATTCCAGGATGATTATGATTTGTTCGAATCACGTAAAACAGCCCTTCCAGAGTCCAGACTTTGCGACAGCAAGATTCCATTTTGGCTATTCAATCATAAAGCAATGCACTTTGATATTGCCGATTTGACGGCAGACTTATGTTGAAAATTCTAAATTACGTACGTAATAAAACCTGTTAAATTTGATCTGGTGCCAGCGCTTACCGCCTGCAGAGTGCAGACGGGCGCACCTGATGCCACTCTATCGTTACTTATTTAGTATTACCAATTGGCAATTTACCGTGCTCGTGATACCTACGTGTGCAGCTGTCTCGACTCTCGAGCAACAGCAAAAATAGTTTTTGCCTAGCAACCAAATAAATAGCAGATACAAATTGTATCTGCTATTGTCCGACTTATACAATGAAGGACAAAAAGAAGATTCAATTGTCCAGTCGGTCCGCTGCTCAAAAATAACCTCGCAACGACACGCCACCAGTAAAACATTCGCGCTACTCTCCTAGCACCATACTTTCAAACGCCCGCGCTTCGTGAATTTTGGGGCATAACTATACTATCAAAAATCTCCTATTTTTTTCTGAATCTTTTGAAATATTAGTTGGGTGATTCTGTTTCGTAACTGACGGGGAATGCGTGTTACTGAGAATACGACACAAGCATCAACGGAAAACAGTTTGCGACAAAAAAACAGCCAGTTCGCGCCACATGGCCAGCACTGGGCCCTAACAGAGAAACGCCTGTCTGCGCATTTTCAACATAGGCCAAAATCGAGTCAGGACTCAGAACTTCACTTTGTCGGATTTGTGCATTCAGCCTCTTTGCTGGACCACAGTTGTTTCTTTTCTGGCAAACTTTCTTTTCCTGTTGATTGTTTCGGCTCCTCTTAGTACTCCATCAATCCACATCATGAACGCGACACCGTTGTACTTTCGCAGACTGTTCTCGGGTTCGCGCGAGTTGAACTACGGGAACACGGTGCTGGTGCAGCGCGATAACAGCGAATGGTGGCCACTGGCTAGGATACGTTCATGACATTGATGGTCCTGACTTCTTGGTGAACTTCGATGCCAGCAGCATCAGTGCCCAATGGATTCACTCCCGCCGCCTGTGGCCGCATCATTTTATCTCCCCTGAGCTTCTGCCTGAAGGCACATCAGTCACGTAGCGCTGCAGCGGACCCATGCTGATCCGATGATTTTCCGGCCGGGTACCTTGGTGCAAGATGATAGCAGTGATCCATTTTACTTTGTCTGTCTGAATAGTGCCAGTCACAACGGGACAGAACGGGAGCTCATTGTACATCGGAATCAGTGCGTTAAAGAACTGCCGTTGCCAGATGATGGAAAGAGTTTCTTCGAACGCACTACAGGATTTCTGTTCAGGAAACGCGTCATCCCCTTTCCCCAAGCGCAGCTATTGCCTGATGTTGATTTCATTCCGACGTTACTGGTCGGCACACATCGATTAGTGCGGGGCAGCGACGATGCTGTATGTGATGCCAACTGTATCGTTAGGCGTGACGTTTGGGTGGACGAGATAGAGTACGGTTGCTATTCCCACCATAAATATTGTTCTGTCGATATGGGTGTTCGAATGTTCGTGCGAGTTGGAACTGATGCGGTCACTTTCATCTGTGCGGAGATGCAGGGTGCCGAAGGGGGTTGCAGTATGTTTTGGGAGGAATGTAGCCTGAAGAAAGCTTGCGATGACTATCTTCTGGATAAACTAACAGCATGGCCAATGGTTATCGACTCGGCAGAATGCGATACGCTCCCGAATGGTCAGTGTTTGTGTAACGGTGTTCAAAAAGAACCGTCGGTATACTCCCGTCCCTAGTTGTCTCTAAACTTTATATCCTGCAGATCTGGAGGAAATGTCCATTATCGAAGTTTTGCATCCGATTTTGGCTTCTGTACTGTCTTATTTGGATGTGGATTCCCAGTTGCGAATGGGCAGGCAAGTCATTGTGGTTATTTCACTTCAGTTCTTTGTACGGCTGTTTTTTACTCGATCTGTCTATGGACAAATTGATAGATAGCGAAACCATCAGCAATAACATTGCTGTCAGTCTCCATCATTGTGGTCAGTACTACATCACGTGTTACGCGGTCCTGCAAATTTGAACATTAGACATACGTTACAACGATTATATACCCGTTTTTCTAGACGTTTTTTCTGCCTACTTCTGATTACAAGGAATGATATGCTTACTTGCATGATTAAACAGGAACCCGATCGGCCCCACAGGACGTATGCGCTAGAAACCCGAATTAGAATTCTCAATGCATTTTTGTGGTAGGGGACGTTGACACAAATTTTGTATTTCAGGGTTTGTGCGCTGTGGAGATCGATATCCTGCCGGCACGCGAACCACCGGAACATCTTGTTTGATCTCTGTACAGCGTGCAAGCAAAGGCAGTATGATTTGTCCCAAGAGTATGATGATTGTGCCGTTCGGACAGAAGGATATTCAGACTACCTCAATTATAAACTAATGACCACCCTGGACCGCGTAGTTCCTGGGCGTACGCGGATGCTGGCGCTGTCGGAGGATGGGGATCATTTTCACGCCGGCTTTGATCTGGCGGCAAGAATGAGAACGATCAGAACCGTACTAACCAGCAATGGGGTCCGTCTGTAGCGGGCAGAAAGGTTGACTGGCTCACGGCTCACGGAACAAACCTTTTTGCCGGCAAAAGGGTTCGTTAACTTTTTTTACGGGCGAAATGGCTCACGATCATGGATCACCGCAGCATGACCGCGATTGTGAAGACTCTATGCGAATGAGATAACGAATTTAAATAAATCGGGTTGTGTTCTGCTTACATAGGTATGTGTTAGTGCAGTACAACATGTACAGAAGCTACATACGGTAACATATGTACTTTATATGCCAACTGCGTAGACCAAAAAGGGGTTTTCCATGGTGTTATAATTTGTTGTTCTGTTATCAAAATATTGAAGGTGTCAGTCAACATTAGCACTTATCAACAAAGCGTTAGACTTATGCACAATGCCGCCAAGCAAGTTGTGAAATTTGGGACCCGTGAGCCATCCTGCCTGGCAAAATGGCTCACGGTTAAAGTGTACATATGTGCATTACAAAGTTTGCAATAGTTTCAAGTCTCACATGTTATTCTAATTGTTGCAAAGATCACGTAAAGGCAACTGTCGCATACCTTATTTTTACCGTACAGGTGCCAAATTCTTATACTCTAGAGCCATCCCGTTTGTCAAACATGCTCACAGGCGTGAGCCATTCTGCGCGGCACGCAGGCTCACGTTCGTGAGCCTGTGTGCCGGGCAGGATGGCTCACGAACGTTTGCACTCGAAAACTGGAAAGTTTTTGCTCTGCTCTTTTTTTTAGCTATATCATGATGATTTTGCTGCACGATGAAGCGAAATAAGTTAGTAACGTTACTTTTGGAACCTAGTGAGAAGGCCGACACAATTTTAACTGTGTTATTCTTCGAACTTTCGTTCCTTTTCGCGCGCAATTCATGCGCGATGAGCGCACTTAAAATGCGCCCTCTTATAGTGCACTTATAATCTTAATTGTTCCCCTAAATAAGAGTAACACTTGTTATGCGAAGCTACTGTACCTTCTGTTTTTAACGAAATAGACCGTCTGGTAACCATCCCGATATTTTGTTCCATAATTGTTTCGCTCAAAAAAATTGTAATTTTTTGACAAATTAAATTCCCTTCTTTTTTAGCTCAAGGAAAATCCCTTCCTTTAATTTTGCCTTCCTTTTTTAGATCGAAGAAAATCCCTTCCTTTAACTTTCCCTCCCTCTTTTTGACCATTCGAAATCCCTTCCTTTAGTTGTCCCTTCCTCGTTTCGACCAAAGAAAATCCCTTCCTTTCATTTTCCCTCCCTATTTTTGACCCTGGCCGTTTTGTTGTCTTAGCTTAATGTTCGTGTACAGATAACACAAACTTCACATGTAATTGTGAGCCATTTTGCGTTCGTGAGCCATCTTGCCCGGCACCCAGGCTCACCAACGTGAGCCATTCTGCCCGGCACGCAGTCTCACAAAGTTAACACTTATCGTACGGGGGCGGTCGGCGCGGCCGTCCGACTACTTAAGAAATTGGCCAGAAATTCCACTTTAGAGATGTAGGTCTCTGCCACCCCTGAATTCCTCGAGGATTTTTGGTTCTTCAGACCTGCTCTTACAGTTTTTCAGAGGAAGCTTTAAGAAAATAGAAATCGACCCGGCCTTCAAGACCCATTTTGCCGGAAGTGGTTACAATTTCGTCTATAGCCCTTCAATGAATTTTAGTTTATCAAAACTTTCACAGTATAAGTTATGCAGAAATGTTTTCTCTACTATATTAAACAGAAATCAAGTTCATAAAAAAATCTGACAGAAACTGTACCGGTTTTAACACAAACACGCTTTTAGTCAAAATTCGACGAAAAAAGTGTCCATATTTATCGCGCCCGCCCGGTTGGCAGTTTAAACCGAATTCTGTGTTGGCTGCGCGAAATTAAATTCTACTTCGTTTGTCCTTACAACTGTATCTTCTTATGCTTGCGATCTCATTCGCAAAGCTTCGTTTGGAAACGGTAAAGGATTTCTGTAACATGTTTTCAAATTTTAAAAATTCATTTCCGAGGTCGACCTCTGGTTTCATTGGAATAACAGGCAGCTATACTGCTGCATACAGCGATATCTCAAACGCAGCAGTGCAGCAGTTGAGGTCTTCGAGCCTTGAATGTGGTGGATGTGAATAAAACAGGTATCCTGAAGTTTTTTTAGCTTTTTTATTTTATTGTAAATACTGTTTTAGTTTGGGTCGAGCAAAAACAAGAAATAAGGTTTTGTTTTGGCAAGGTGATACTGGGATTAGCTGAATCATAGCTGTTTGAGTAACTGCTGCACAGTTAATTAGGGCGCGAACGATCTTCGAACCTGTACAAACGACTTTGTGAGGCGTGTCTGCCACATTCGATTGGTTGGCCTGACAAGCCTACAGGAATATTCTACGCAATTTAAAATCAAAATACGAGAAGTGTTAATGTCAAACAACATATAAACAACAACTGTGTTTTGCCATTTTATGTCAAACAACATTTCTGACCACCTTGTGACCGTACTGGACTGACAAAACACAGGCAGACAGTAATAGCGGCTTCTGATCTACAGATGTTTAAAGGCGATTCTGATCTAAATATCCAATTTCTGATAAAAAAACATTTATCCCCGTAAGCGAGTTCAGTAGTGCAGTCGACGTTTATGATTATAGACTTACATTGGTAGAGGCCAATTGCATTTGGGTAATCGATGCGCGTCGGGTAATGGAGAGCCCTTAAAAGATTAGCCATGGCTTAGCAAAAAAAAACAAACGTCCAATCATAAGTCGAGTACGCTTCCGTGCCAAGAAAGGAATTGAACACCAAAGTGGAACTGAAAAACTCATTTTTGATGCTATAATGTGGTAAATGTGGTATTACTGTACGTCAAAAACGTTAACTATGAGATTTGGAGTGTGAGTCTGGGTCGCTGGATGCACTCTTAGTTCCAACAGATAAAAAAATTTTGTTGATCTCTGCTGGAGAGTTGCGAGTTACTCGTAGTTAGGGTAACGGTTGCGCTTCAACGTCGAAGCGCATCGGTTACACGGACGGGTAAGCTGAAAATCCATCCCAGAACTATGGTTTACCAATCCATAAATGGGTATTTTGTCTTGCATTAAAAAATTATTTTTGGATACTTGCTGTGTTGTGTATAATGCCTTGAGCGGTCTCTCTTACCTGACTTCTACTCCGATTTCAAATTGACAGCTAATAATCGTTTAGACGTTTACATAAATCTGCGTGTGATATATGGTTCCCAGATTCTCGTGCTTTCTCTATCTTTCCTGTTTCCTATCTTCTTAGCAACTACATTTTCCTATCTACGCTTCTGGTCTTTCCCTACATATTCAGTTGCCTCTCAGTCCGCTACGATACAGTACAATAAAGGTTACGATACGCCATCCAGTACTTTTACATACGATTCCTACATACACTACACTGCGTTATCAATAATTTTTGCAAAAACTGAGTTCGCACTACTGCAAGAACTGGAGGACGGACTGCTTCTATATTTGAAAGACTATCCTAAAAATAAGTCGAAATCATCGGTTAATAGTTATCAGTAGTTATTTGCAATAGACCTAGGCACCCGACGTCGTAACACGTATATTTACCAACCGTGAGCCATTTTGCCCGCCAAAAAAGTTAACAAACCTTTTTGCCGGCAAAAAAGTTTGGTTCGTGAGCCGTGAGCCTGTCAACCTTTCTGCCGGCTACATCCGTCTGCCTACAATTATCATCAAGAACGGCCGGGTTGGCGCTTTGGGGCCGTGTCGTGATTTCCTGGCCATTTGCCGTGATTTTCAGTCTCAGAGTGGAGTGTGGGAATGTACCGGATTGTCGGAAATCATGACGGTGTGCGAAGAACTGGTGCTTATCAATTTCACCACTCTGCACTTCATTACCGGGACAGGGTTTAGGATCCTGTGTATCCGTCCAGCGTCAGCTTTGCCGGAGTCCGAGATATCGTTGATGCGCCGAAACAGAGAAGTTTTTCGATACCCGCTAACGATCCCGCTTATACGTATTCGCTCCGATGAATCCCCCGCCGAACAAACCCGCATTGTTCTCGCCGCCGCCAACGACCAATGCCCAGCCGTCAGTCAGCGGGTATACGATAAGGTCGCAGCGACACATGCGCGCTGGGTGCGAACGTTGGTTTATCCGGATCAGTGGACCGGCATTCGCGGTTTTCTGCAACTGTAAGTAGTCTCCTCATGGGACACTCGGCAAATGAATCTAGTACGAATTAACACCGAGGGCAGCGAAATGGTGCAATAAGACATATCGATTTGGTGGTTTTTGTCGGCAGAAATAAAATGTATAATGTAATACTTTTCCGATTCCAAAAAAACCTAGTGTTTCATTGCCATTGGTACTGGAGCTCGCTAATGTGGATAGTTTCGTTAGCATGCAACCGCCGGCAGTTGATGCTTACCTTAATGAGGCAATTAATCCGACTGTTTCTGGCGAATTTGGCTGTAGGTGATAGAACTCTTATTTTATCAGGTTAAACTCTTTGCGTCCCGATGACACCCCAGAGCGTTGGAATGCAATAGATCTTCGCCAACTGGACATTGCTGCTTTGACCCGTATCACCTTCGCAGTACTGGATGCATCCTTCGAAGACTAAAGTGTTGAGCTGAACTGTTCGGAATACCATAAACTTGTACGGGAATTACAGAAGATTGTTTTATACATATATTGGTTTAGAATGCTTCCGTTCTTGCAGTAATTTTCTGCCTTATTTCGGCCGCGGCCGGGTTAAAAATGACTGCATTTGCGGGGCCACCGCATCGCTGGCATTCTGTTTGATGGAATGACGAATGGCCGAAATAATTGTGTTTGTACGAGCACAGTACTTTGTAAATTGTTGCGTTGATAGTTTAAATAATAATGCAAGCCACTGTTAAAAATTAACGAGCACAGTACTGGGAATTCTAGTGTCGCATGTGCTCCATGTCGTGTCATTCCAGCTTCCATAAGTACCATAACAGCCAACAGACTGGTACAGACATGACAAAATGCTCAACCACGATCCACTACCAAATAGACAATCAAAAAAATGAAAAGCCGAAGAGTATTCGTGAAAATTGTGAAAATTGAACAATTTGCAAAGTGCAGCATTGCTATCACATCGAAAAGTTGTTGATTTAATGCGCTGTTGTACGAGTAATTAACTGCTTATGCAGGGTTTGTACCTTTGTACAAACGTACATAATAATTATACGTCAATTAAGCTGAACCGCATAACACTTGCGCGTACGCACACCCTGGCGCTCACGGAGAACGGAGATCACTTTCACGATTACTGTGATCTTGCCACAAGAATGGGAATGACCAGAGCCGTCCTAGCCAGCAAGGCGTTCGTCTTCCTGTAATGATTCTCAAGAACGGCCGAGATGGCGCTTGGGGACCGGGTCACAATTTCCTGGCCTTCTACCGTTATCGTTACAATGGAGAATGGGAATGCAGCGGACTGTCAGAAATCATGAGGGTGTGCGAGCAGTTGGTGCTGCTAAAGTTCACTACGCTGCACTTCACCGGAGCAGTATGCAGGATCTTGGGCTTCGGTGCCTTGCCGCCTTTACCAGAGTCTGCTAATGCGCAGAGAGGGTACCCGCTAACCACCCCGTACATACATACGTATTCGCTCCGAGGATACAGCCATAGGAAACACCCGCATCGTTCTTGCCGCCAACGACCGATGTCCGCCCGTCAGTCAGCGGGTGTTCGAAAAGGTCACCGCGATACATGCGCGCTGGGTGCGAGCCTTGGCCTATCCGGATCAGTGGACGGGTATGCGCAGTTTCGAGCAGCAGTAAGTATTATGTAGCGCCATCATAACGCGTTTTCATGAATGAAAAACTAAAGCTAACCCAGTTCACTTAGCGCAAAGGCAACAGCGAGCGCCGCGAATGTGATGCAGGTCAAGGCAGTATTGTCCAGTTGGCGAAGATCCATCGCAGCCCATCAGGACGAATAGAATTAAACCTCGAAAACTAGAACTTACCGCCTACACCTGAATCATTGGACGGATGAACTGATTTAATATAGGATGGGTTGTTCGAAGATTAAAACAGCTTATGGGAGGCACGGTTTTGGATGTAGAGGTTTATTTGACCATTGTGTGCCGGGCGGGGCATATAATATCGCATTACGGCAGCGGTATCGCTGGCTTTCTTATTGCTGCCCGTAGAATTAGGTCTAGTTTTTAAGCATAAACGTTTCCGTATTCCGTTGTACGAGGTGAAGACATTTGAAACTGAGACAATGTTATACATTGTGTTACGTGCCGTAGTTGAATCGTACTCTGCAGTTCTTTTATTCTTACAGACGGTACAGTTGCTAGCTTGTTGATTGCTTATTACTGCTGCCCATTGAGTAAATATCTATACTTGTTTGTACGCCGCTGCATTAACAATATTTCTCAAATATTAGGTAATCCCCTCAAAACTAATTAATTCCAATAAAGCAGCAAAAATTGGAAGCTGTTCCCTGAGCTGTATCTGCTTCGCATTACCCCAGACTTCGAAGAAAAAATTTCGGCGTATGGCTTTTTGGCTCATTTCGGGCTTTCATGTGCACTGTGCAGAGTGTGCAGGCGTGACTGCCGCCTGCAGAAGATCGCAATGTGTGCGTGTCGCGTGGATTAGTTTATGGTAAGCTGTGTTCGACATGGATGTTTTTCGATCTTGTGTGGTTTACCGAAGGCTACCGACACTGATTCAGTTGTTCTGCACAGCTCGCCACACGGCACGCGGCCAACGCCAATGCTGAAAGGGCCTTGCTAAACAAATGTCAGAAATGCGTTACAGCGTTACCATCTGAATTCTAAAATCTTGCCGTACTCCGAGACTATTTGTGAGCCTTTTTTTGCTGCATATCCAAGTGGCAATCTTTTCGTATCCTCTCAGTACTGTCCTGTGCACTGAAAGGTTCGACAGTTCTACGCCATGAACGCAACAACACTGTATTTTCGAAAGCTGTTCTCGGGTTCGCGTGAGTTGAACTATGGGAACACGGTACTGGTGCAGCGGGATAACGGGCAGTGGTGGCTAGGATACGTTCAGGACATCGATGGTCCTAACTTCTTCGTGGACTTTGATGCCAGCAGCATCAATGCCCAATGGATTCATTCCAGACATCTCTGGCCGCACCGTTTCCTGATGCATGAGCCATTGCCTGAGGGGTCGTCAGTGCAGGTAGCGCTGCGGCGGACCTATGTGGATCCGATGGTTTTCTGGTCTGGTGCCATCGTAGACGATGAGAAAACCGATCCGTATGTACTTGTCCGTGTAGACGCTGACAAATCTGACGGAATAGAACGACAGCATATCCTTCATCGGAATTACTGCACCGAGAAGCTGCCAGCACCGGAGGAGGGGGGAAGTTTCTTCGAAACCACTACAGGGTTTCTGTACAGGAAACACAGCATTAGCTTTTCCAGTTCCCAAATGCTGCCAGACGTGGACTTCATCCCGACGTTCTTGGTCCGCACCTGTCGATTGGTGTTGGGCAAAGACGATAACGTATGCGATGCGAACTGTCGCTTTCATCGATTCGTAAGAGTGGACGAGGTTCATTTCGTGTGCAGTGCACACGAGGAGTCGGGTGGATCGTATCCGCTTCACGTCGGTTGTCGAATGTGCGTGCGAGCGGGAGTGGATACGATCACTTTTATCTGTGCCGAAATGCATGGTGACAATGACGGCTACAGCATGCTGTGGGATGAAAGTTCCCTGAGAAATGCTTGTGAAGATTATTTGAAGGAGAATCTGACAGTGGACCTAAGGGATATGGAGGCCATTCCATGGGGCGCGTTGCAGCGAGGTTAGTTTGACAGTGCATTTGCTTTAACTTTTAAAGTACTTCAGGGTTTTATATCATTATCAGCCGTCAAAAAAGAGGATGTATAAATATAAACTTGTGTAAACCATCCGCAAAAACACCTATGTAAGATACGGGCGGTTTTTTCCACAGTAGTGGCTGTGGCTCTAAGCCTCTAACTGCAGTATTTACTAAGAGAATTTAAACGAATTGTTTGCGTTATTAGCTGTGCATATTCGTATGTTTTGCAGACACAACGGAAATGTCCATAAGTGAACTTGTGCATCCCATCGTGGCATTGATAATGTGCTACCTGGATGTGGATTCCCAATTGCGGACCAGCAGGCAAGTTATTGCGGTTATCGCCAAATCAAGACATTTTAATAGCGTTTTCGCTTCTGGTTAATTAAGTACTGTATATGTATAAAACATTTGCGGCAGTAGTTGATACAAACATATCATCCGAAGTTGGTCGCAACTCGCATGGGATCCCTGTGGGGCTCTGCTCTGTAACGCTTTTACTGATATTTACCAGGGTTTGTGCGCTGTGGATGTCAGTTTTCCGTCTGCACGTGAAGGATCGACACATCCAGTTTGATCTCTGCACAATGTGCAAAAGAACGCCTCACGAGTTGTCCGGACAGTACGCGGATTTCGTCGATCTCGATCCCAGAGAAGAGTACTCCAGCTACCTGAAGTACAAACTGGTAACCACACTGCACCGCGTAGTTCCTACGCGTACGCATGTGTTGGCGCTGACGGAGGACGGGAATCATGCTCATGCTGGACTGGGACTCACCACCCGCCTGACATTGACCGGCAACGTTTTAGCCGCCCGAGGCGTCCGTCTGCCACTGATTATGGTAAAGAACGGGCGTGACGCCGCTTTCGGGGCATCGTGTTTCCTGGGTATTGACCGTAATCCTCGCAGTGGAGCATGGGAATGTAGCGGATTGGCGAAGCTGACGATGGTATGCGAGCAGCTGGTGCTGGTCAACATGGCTACGGAGACACTAATCACCGGTGCAGCATACAAGATCTTGGCATTATCGGATCTGCCGGATCAAGAGAGAGCGTTGATGCGCAAATACGGTTCGGTCGATGATAATATCCGATATCCGGTAACCATTCCCCGTCTACATTTTCGCTCGGAGGACACATCCGCTGAACGGATCCGCATTCTTCTGGCCGCGGCCAACGACCAGTTTCCGGCCGTCAGTCAGCGGGTGTACGACAAGGTCTCAGCCTTGCATGGGCGCTGGGTGCGAACGTTGGCTTATCCGGATCAGTGGAATGGTATTCGCGTTTTTCTCCAACTGTAAGTCTTTATGTAGAAGTTTCATATATTGTAAGCCCTGTAAATCATACGTTGATGATTTGATCAATTGAACGCATGATATTGTTTGTTATTTTATATTGGTACCCTTAGCTCTTTACGATTTCATTGTTTCTGATATAAGCCCATCTTGAATGCCAGTGAACACATGAGCAAGAAGAAGAAAGTCTCGTATACAGGAACATCCAGTATCCAGTTGATTATAGTGCCCTGACGACAGAGTACTGCACTACAGTGAGAAATTACGCCTTGCCACAGGAAACTGATGTGCTCCCCTCGTATTAAATTTATTTTATCATAGTTTTTTTCGCCGTCGTACTATCATAATATGTGACTCGAGTCACATTTTTCTTTAATTCGCTGCTGCAGGGTTGACCGATTGTTTGAGATGGCTTGTATTTCCGGTCCAAGTTTGTCTGGTTTAGCTTTTGCTGGCAAAGTGGATTCATGTTTTTGAGGAGAATAGTTTTCCGTGAGGAAGAATACCAGTCGTAGACAAATGCGATAAACCTCCTTTTATTAGGTTTAATTCTCTGCGCCCTGATGACACTCCACAGCGATGGGATACGATGGATCTTCGCCAAGTCGATGTTGCTGCTCTGACCCCTGTCACTTTCGCGGCACTGAATGGATTGTATAGAGACTGAAATAGTGGACTGGAAGTACGGTTTCCGGATTGCTTACATTCATTATTTTGCTTCCTCAGTTTCTAGTTTTTTCGGTTGCTCACCTTGGGCTTGCGCCGCGGCGAGCTCGATTGGCAAACACTAGTACGGCAATCGTGTGATACTGTCTGCGGTTTTTCGGGTTTTTTGGAATGATATTTCAGAATAGCTTGTCTTATGTTTTTATTGGAAGGAGATCAGGAAAAACAGCATAGTACATAATACGTATCCATAATATATGGCCATATTCTCTGTTTTCTGATGTCGCTTTACATTCTGGGTAAATCTGCAGGGTCCTATTAGTAAAATCACTGAAATGGTACTTCGATTTTACTCGCGTTCCGACCGCTTACAGATTACACTTTAACGTTACGTCCACCCGATTGCATTCGTGGCCCCTGCAGTGCGCGGCTACGTGGTTATTAACAGCTGACTGCACAGTGCAGTTTGTTTTTTTGTTTGAATATCCAGTCTTATTATGATGGGAATGATCGCGAACTTATTACATTGATTAATTTACGGTGATTAATTCTAGTAAATTGAAACCAAGTAAGAAATCGGTTATTATTAACTAAATTGGTGATTTTAATTGGTGATAATTCCTCGTTTTTATTAAGCAATTTTGATGGATTCGTTGATCTCTAGATTTTTGTAACTTTGTTTTCTGTTAAATTTATTTGTTGTTCCTTGTTGCATTCGGTTCGGAAATAAACGTTTTTACTGGTTAAAAATTACCTGTATAATGTTATAAACTAATTTTTATATGGCCCCATGCGGGCAAACTGAAATCATGGGTGGTCGGAACGTGAAGGTGTAATCTATAAGCGGTCGGAACGCGAGTAAAGTCGAAGTATAGATGTTGTTATTTTTATAACAGAATACTGGTATGCGTTTCATGGTAGTACAGCTGTAGTCATTTCGTTTCAAGTAATACTAAATTCGAATTAGACATTCACCTACGTTCGATTCTGTACTTAATTTATGTGGCGACTAAACCTGCGCAAAGAATATTTACTGTCGTAAGCAGCAGTAGCATGATTCACCGGATTCCAGTTAATTTTGATTTGTTCGCAATAACACAACACTTGTAGGCCTAGCGAAAGCAAGACTCCATTTTGGTTGTTCAATCAAAAGGAATGTCTTTGATATTGCTGATTTGCGGACCATAATGTACATAATTTGTGCCGATGCAGATGAATGATTTTACAGTGGACTGCGAAAAGGTGTTACAACGAGCGCAACCAGGCACTTTTCTGTACTCAAAGGGCCATATTCGTGATTGGCCATCGGCCTGCTGGTATTAACACTTGCACCTTCCAACAAAAACAATCAACCGATATCTTAAACGAAAGAGGAAAAATTTCAAGAATTTTGATACCAAACAAGTTGTTCTTTATGGGATTTAAGAGAAAATCGACGCACATAAAGTTTCTCGTAGACATAGCATAGGATTTAAATCCACGGTTTGGATTCAGTTTTCACACAGAAATTGTATGCTTTGCCTACGACAATCTAAAATGGCTTGATTTTCTCTCAGATGTCGTAAAGGATCACTTGTTTGGTACCAAAATTCTTGAAATTGTTTTCTCTTTCGTTTGAGATATCGGTTGATGGTTTTCATTGGGAAATGCGCAAAGTGCAAGTGTTCAAATTCTTGCGCGTTTCCTAATTATTGGTGTGTTGGTCTTGGCCATTCATTTGGATGTCAACCTTTAATAAATATCGTTGTACAAGTACAAACTTAGTACCAAAACAGAACGTAATTATAACAGAAAAACTTCCTCTATGCTATCCTGATAGGGGAGCGTACCCATTACACAAATCGCGTTTCCCCGTTGTATTTGCATAGATATTCGCTGCTTAAAAAACTCTTTCGCTCGCTTCTGGCCAGTGGAAGTCGCTATACCGTTTCCAACCTTCTCCACTAGCTTTTTTGTTCCGTCTCCCAAAGGTCCGTAGATTTCGAAGGCAGCGGCAACAGAATTGTATCTTGGTTGCAGCCAAGCGTGTTTCGAAAGTTTCTTCCTTTCCGCGAGTTCGGCTGCTGCGCCGGCGTTCACGGAGGTGCGGTCGATATACGAGGCCGCCAGCGTGTCCACGCAGGTAACATCCACGGCCGGCGGCTTTCCGCGTGTCCACGGTATAAGTGTGATCATATCCGGCCTTTTCTTGTCTTTCACGGACAGACCTTTTGGTTCCATTCTAGAAGGAAAGCCTGCTGACTTCAGACCTCGGGCAAATTCTGCGCTTCATTTGGATTGGTCATTCGGTCCCGGACCGAATGTAACAGGTTTTCACAGTCCACTGTACTTATTTCTCGAATATGTCTCCATAAGAATAACTCCATGATAATTCCAAAAGTCGTAGTAGTTAGTAACGAATTGTAATAATAACGAATTTTATCAAGGTAGAAGAAAATGTGCAAAACAAATCTCCGGGTAAATCGTGAAAAACCTATGGCACACTGCCGCTGCTGGATATGTACTATCTTTCACGGATCTATTAGCCATTCTGCGAAGACTGGAAAACAGCGACATAACTCCAAAAAGAACGAAATGCTGTACGTACATGAAATACTGTACTTACTTTTTACAACCTGCGCTTCAAAGTACCGAGGCAACCCGTCAAAGTGTACAAAACCTTTATTACATAATACTCGTAGACATTTAAAAGAGGGCAACGCAGTTATAAACGCTAATATTTAGCAGTTATGGTTTTATCTTTGACCCGGAACTAAAATGGACCTTGTCCAATTCTGGTTCCGGGTCACGGATAAAATCAACTGGCAGTATTCCCTGACAGATCGCATTCGATTTTTCAATTCAGACGAAAAATTATCTGTCAGTGGCGCGGCGTGGGGCGTTGATGCGAACAGACAAACCCGTGTTGAAAATTTTGAAGTACGTAATCAAATTTGTAATTGATCTAATGGTAGCGCTTACTGCAGAGGGGCGCACCCGTTGGTTTGTGTTTGCCACTCTGGTAATGACCGCAAGGCGCAATGTAATGTTTAATACTTTTAACCGTGCTCGTGATCCATAAGAAATATTTGACAAGTTGTACTTCTATATCGTGTTACACAAAAAACTTTCTTTTGCTTATTTCCTTAATGCAAGAAGCTAACTATCACAGACCTCTCTGTTAGTCGACGCTTGTTTCCGTTTCTAGCAAACTCTTTTCTTGTTGATTTTTTCGGCTCATCTTTGTACTCCTTAGTCCACACCTGACCATGAACGCGACACCGTTGTACTTTCGCAAACTGTTCACTGGTTCGCGCGAGCTGAATTACGGGAACACCGTGTTGGTGCTGCGCGATCATGGCCAATGGTGGTTAGGACACGTTCAGGATATCGATGGTCCTAACTTCTTCGTGGACTTCGATGCCAGCAACACCAGTACCCAGTGGATTCACACCAGCCGTCTCTGGCCGCATCATTTCGTCGCCGCTGAGTTTTTGCAAGATGGCGCAGCGGTTCACGCAGCGCTGCGGCGGACCCATGCTGATCCGATGGTTTTCTGGATGGGAACCATGCAAGATGGTTGGAATGATCCATTCTACTTGGTGCGTCTGAATAGTGCCAATTCCAACGGGGCAGAACGAGAGCTTATGGTGCATCGAAATCACTGCGAGAGAACTGCCGATGCCAGATGATGGAAAAAGTTTCTTCGAACGGACTACAGGATTTCTCTTCAGGAAATATGTCATCCCCTTTCCTCAAGCGCATCTGCTGCCGGATGTGGATTTCATTCCTACATTATTGGAGCGTACTTACCGATTAGTGATGGGTGGTGACGCATGTGATGCCGACTGTATCATTAGACGCGAGCCGCGCTACGTTTGGGTGGACGAGATAGAGTACAATTGTAATTGTTTCCCGAATCATTGGTCCACCGTTGTCGGTGGTCGGATGTTCGTGCGAGTTGGAACGAATACGGTCATTTTTGTCTGTGCGGAAAAAAGCTTGCAATGCCCGGAAAAAGCTTGCAGTGACTATCTTCTGGAGAAACTAACCGCACGGCCAATGGCTATCGACTCGACTGTATGCGACACGTTCCAGAAAGGTCAGCGTTTGTGTGGCAGTGTGAAAACAGAAGCATCGATATTTCAATTTCAATATCGAAGTATTACGTAAAAATATCAGAGTTTGCCGTCCCCAGTTGTCTCTAAACTTTACATTCTGCAGATATATATGAAAGAAATGTCCGTTACGGAAGTTTCGTATCCCATTTTGGCTTCCTTAGTGTCTTATTTGGATGTGGATTCCCAGTTGCGAATGAGCAGGCAAGTCATTGTGGTCACATCACTTAAACTCTTTTTATGCCTAATTTTTGCATGTGGAAATATGGATACCAAGTAGTTAGAGAAACCATCAACAATGTTATTGCTGTCAAAGTCCAATACTGTACTGTGGCCACTACTGTGTGAGTCTATATCACCCGGTATGCTGTGATGCAGATTGTAGACAGTGGGCAGTATGTTCCAGTTATGACTTAACTCCTTAACTTAACGCGAGTTATTTGAGAGTTATCGAGTTTTAACTTAACTGTGAAGCGTAACTCGCTACTAACAAAACTTAAATCTATCGTAACTCATAAAAATTTTATATACAAAAAGCAATATATATGTATATATTTCTCATAAAATTTGGTATATTATTGCCGATGGTAGCGCAACTCGCGGTATAACTCGAAGCTCGGCTTTGTTTGCATGAATGGTATTATACCGCAACTCTGTATATCATGAATGGTATTATCGTAACTCGTAGCGCGGTGGGGGCATTTCCCATAACTGCCCAGGTCTGGTGCGTTCCGTTTAAATCCGTATCCGTCCTTTTAGCGTCTTATCCTTGCCTACCTTTGAAGAAGGATCGATATGCTCACTTACTTGATTACCTAAGTGAGCTCATTGACAAAAATCTTGATCGGTCCCATTGCACGTATGCGGCTAAAACAGAAAACCCGACTTTTCTATGCTTTTTTGTGTACGTTCACACTAATTTTTTTACTCCAGGGTGTGTGCGCTGTGGAGAATAATTTGCTGCCAGTACGTGAATTTTCGGAACATCCTGTTCGATCTCTGTACTGTCACTACTGTGTGCAAGCAATTGAAGCAAAGGCCATATGATTTGTCCTA